GGCTTTAGCAGCCGCGCAAGCACCTAATTACGAGGGTCTGGGAAGTCTCGCGCGTTCTCGCACCGGGTCGTTCAAACACGGAAACGTTCCCAGGACTATAGATCTCCGATGTGCCGCGCGCGCGCGCGACAATCAAATATTGATAATCGTTCGACTATTATCGCGAGGCGCTCTAAAAGTAGCGCGCTCGAGCGAGCACGCCGCTTTTCGGCGTACGTATTTCCGCAAAGTTTCCTGTCGAAATTCTCGCGATACACCGCGCTCGCGCTTCCACCGGCTGACTCATCCACCACGTCACGCATGCGATATACACGGCGGACCGCGACAAGCCACCGCCGCGAATTCGATTCTCTCACGCGTACGACACGCAGGCGAACCGATTGCGAAATTCCCGCGGCGAATTTTCCATTTCCCGGACGGAGAAAGGGAACCACGGAATTCCTCGCCGGCGACTACGAAATAATGAATCCTCGCGTGAGCCGGCCGAGGAGCGGCCGCGTCCGAAGGACGAGGATTTCCCACGGTGTCGATCCGGCGAATCGCGCGCAGTCATCGAGATCATTCGACTCTCGCCAGCGCGACCACCTCGTCTTCAGGCAAGTCGCCTCTCGCTTTCCAGACGAGAAGCCTTCCTACTTCTTACCCGTGCACATACGCACATCCGGGACACCCTGTATATGTATGTAGGCCGCACACAACGCACGCCACGCGAAGTCTCTCTCCTATTCTCCAACCCCGCGGGGCTCTTCGTCGCTCCCTCCCTCTCCCTCTCTCTCTTTCTTCCTCCCTCCCTTCTCTCATCCTCTCTCTCTCTCTCTCTCTCTCTCTCTCTCTCCTGCCGGGCTGTAAACCCTCGTTCTCTCCATCACGTAGACGTAGTAACGGGGTGTTCAGTGGGAACCGGCTTTCTGTTACGACGCACACACGCCGCTTCGCAGCAACTGTTACGTACGTGTCTCGCGTACGTACAGGGTGGTACGAGACGGAAGGGTAGTGGAGCGCGCACGGAGACGACGACGACGACGCCCCGCGTGAGAAAGGAAAATTCGTAGTCGCGCGCTCGCGCACGATACACAATAATACACGCGCGCGCGCGCGCGCGTGTGTGTGTGTGTGTGTGTGTTCCACGGGCTAAAAATCTCTCGGAGCGAAGAGGAGGCAGCGAGGTGGAGGGACGAAGGGACGGAAGACGGCATTTTCCACAGACCAATTCCGTTCAATTTCCAAAGCGATACTTCCGCCCCTTGAGCGCGCGCATGCCCGCCCGCAAATTGAATTCGAGGCTTAATTACGCGAGGCGCGCCGCGACGACGAAAATTAGGAGGCGCTTCTCGCTGTTGTTCGAGAATTAAAACCGCGACTTCGGGCGTGAAGAGTCCCACAGGATCCGCGGTGAATGTTCGCGCCGCGACGAGTCGCGAGTTCTTTCGCCCGAGAATAACGGTCGTCAAGCAGTCATTGACGCTCCATCCCGCTCCCTGCCTGCCCCCTTTTGTCCTCCTCTCGCCGTGCAACGGGGCTGATATATTTTATACATGCTGATAGACGCTCGCGAATAGTCGGGGATTGTTATCCGTCGCGCGGGTAACGCGCGCTTACGCTCTCGCCTCCCGCTCCCCTTCCCCCCTGCCCCCCTCTCTCTATTTCGCTCGCGTGGCACGCGTCGTACGCAATATTCAGTGGTGGAAGAAAGCTCGCGACGAGGCTCGGACAACGAGCGGTCCGGCGGGAAGGTGATTGAAAGCGAGAGACTCTCCCTCCCCCGAGGGATCCGGGAGTGCGTCGCGAGCGACGAGGACGACGAAGACGAACGCGAAGACGCGCGCTCGGTCGGATCGCGAGACGTGCGACATTGAGAACGCGGCGATTTATGTCGTCGAATCGGAGGCTTCCGCACGACAAAGCGGTCACTGATGATGATTGCGAGTTGCTAGGAACTTCTTCAGCGCGCGCGAACACACACACACACACATGCACAGACACACACGTCACCGCGAAAACGGAGAATTCTCGGCGACGAGGAGAAAACGATGCTGCAACGCGTCATCGTCGTCGTCGTCGTCGCAATCTGCCGAAATAAGATCTGCGCCCTCCAGCGAGGCGCATCGATCGGCGCCATAATTAAACAGCCGGCGCAAAAAGCGCGCGTGAATGAACTCGCGAGAGTCGACGAAAAACACCAGCTACCTTCGTCCCTTTCTCATTCACAGTCGCGCTCATTCTCCCCGCGTCTCTCCGCGGGCTGCTCTCCTCGGGTCTCTCGCTCGTCGCTCCCGCGAGCATCCCAATTTCCGTGGCAAGCGAGCCGCGGTTTTGCTCCCGCTGCGACTTTCTCCCGCGGCACGACCGGCTCGCTGCTCGTCATCCGCTCGCGCGATCCGTTCCCCGCCTCTCGCCAGTCCGATATCTACGTGGCCTTGGTCGCTTCCTCGCGCCCCCCCCCCTTCTCCACCCCGCCCCGACCCCTCGCCCTTCGCCCTTTGCCGACTGGCCCTGTACGCTCGCGTACATCTGCACAACAGTCCCCCTTTTGTCGTCGTCCGAAGATGCGATCGTCGTCGACGGGACGTCAACACGGAAGATACCGAGCAGCTCTGAGGGGGTCTCGGCAAAAAGAAAAAGAGTACGGAAAAGAGGGAGGGAGAGAGAGAGAGGGAGAGAGAAAAATGCGAGATCTCATCCGAGCCGATCCCGAGTGTGTCGGCACAGTGGGTGCGCGGTGGCCCGCTTCATTGCGCGTCAGCAGGACGCAGCAAGTGCGCCGCTCTCGCATCGATCTCGATCTAACCAAACGGATAGACAAACGCACCACGAGGGACAAGCACGGGGCTTCGCCGCCTCTCTGGTCTCGTTTCCCCATGTTTTCTCATGGTCGAAAAGCCGTCCGCGCGCGAGGAAGAGCGCCGCGCGCGCGCGCGCGCGGGGTGCGAGGCGATCGTCGCCGGTCGCAGAAGGGGCATGCGCGCGCGCGGGAATTCCCGATTTGTTTCGCCGTCCAGATACGACAACGAGTAGAGAATCGAGGTAAATGCGCGCGAGTAAAAACGCGGAGAGACGCCTCCAAGGACGCGCGTCGGCAAGTTTTGATTTAACGGGAGGACAGAAGCGGCCCGCGCGTTTTTCTCTCTTCCACCAGCTAAGCCGCGAGACGCTCCTCCGCCGCCTGAGGGACGGGATGCAAATCGATGGAAAGTAAATTCGCCGACGTTTCGGGCGTCTGTCTCTTCGCCGCCGCGAAAAGATCCCCCGTTCCTCCGCGAGACATGCTCCTCCTGCGGAAGGGCCGATTTCACGAACGAAGCCTCCTCGCACCCCGTATATTTCGCTGCGATTGAACGCTGGATTTGGCTCATTTTTCTCCTCGCCCCCGCACCCCCCCCCGCCCTGCTTTTTCGTTTTCTGTTTTACACCAGGGACCAAGGTCCGACGCATCCCGCATCCCGCATCCTCCCCTCCCCGCCTCCGTCCCCGACGGATATTTTTTCCCTGTTTTTCTTTGTTTGAGACGCGCTCTCAGGCGCTTGTGGAATTCGCAGAGATCGGCGTGGCGGTATCTTTGACGATCGATTTTACGGGCGAGACATTAATGGCACAAAGAACAAGGTCCTCGTGGTGTCTCGAATTTCCATCTCATCCGATATTCCTGACTTCTCCGCCGACATGTCAGCGGGGATGATCTATCGGCAGTACAAAGATACCGTCGCGCGGTTGGTTACATTTTAGTTACTTTAGTTTAACCATAAGTTACGTGAGTCTTCAGTCTCGATGTGTTTTTCGATGTGACGCCCTGTTTTTATGTTGTTATGATTTCTTTCTTGAAGTCTGCTTTTCCGTTTTGTCGTCTTGCCGTTTCTGTTTCGTTGAGCAAAAGCAAAAGAAGGAAAAAAGAGAGCGAAAGAGAGAGAGAGAGGGAGAGAGAAAAGCAAAAAAAAAAAAAAAAGATCAGAGAAGAATGCACACGTGGGTTCAATCTTAACGAAATAGAGCGCGGAGTTTTCACAAACGCTTCCGGAAGCGACCTCGTCGCCAATAGTCGGCGCGCGAATTTTTCATCCGAATAATAATCGCCTTCCCCGATCGCGTCGGCAATCGCAAATTATTTCTGCACCGTTCCTTTCCTGGCTCGCAAGAAAGAGGGAGCGAAAGAGAGAGAAAGAGGAAAGAAAGAAAAAAAGAAAGAGAGTAAGAAAGAAAGAAAGAAAGAAAGAAATGGAGAAAGAAAGAAAGAGAGAGAGAGAGAGAGAGAGAGAGAGAAAGGAAGAGAGATAAAAAGTGAAAGAAAGAGAGAGAGAGAGAGAGAGAGAGAGAGAGAGAGAGAGAGAGAGATAAAGCAGAAGAAGATATGACACCGTCATTTTTAATCTGAAAATTTGTGGATGTTATGTTAAGTACCTTAACGGCTCTTCGATTCGCGGATTTTCGGCTCCTCTCGAGTCTCACAGACTCTGCCGGAGTTTCGAGAACTTTAGATTTCCGAATCACCGAAGATCTCGCGCCTTTGCACTCTCAGATGTCTCAATCCGCGGCTCGTTAAATTAAATTCTCAAATTCCGTCGCGAAGGAACCTCCGGCGTGTCTCACGTTCCTTTTTACATTCGGACCCGCGGACTTTCGGCTGCTCGAGTCTCAGACACTCGGAGAGATCCAACTTTCACGACGAGAGAGATGAAGGGAACAAAGACAAAGAGAGAGAAAGAGAGAGAGAGAGAGAGAGAGAGAGAGGAAAGAGAAAAGAGAAAAAGACAATTTCCTTAGCGTTCAATTAACGATCGCCAAAGCGCTTCACGCGAGCGAGGGAAGGAGCGGATGCGACGGAAGGGAGGGAGGGGCGGATAATCAGGCTGGACAAACCGAGAAAGAAATTATAAAAAAAAAAAAAAAAAAAAAAACTAAAAGAAAAAATAGCAAAAAACGGGCTTTGTAAGCTACGGTATGACGATACCAAATAAGACTGATGAGAAGTGTAAACGCAAGGTGTGTGTCTATCGGTTTGGTTTTAGCCCTGAGCAACTGCTCTGAGAGCGGAGGCGAGCCGGACGCAATGCTGGATATCCACCACCCAGGAACCGGGATCGACTCGCACCACCAACAGTTTCACAACTCCTATGGTAATATGAAATTCATCATTATAAAATAGTAACTTAACTCGCGCGGGGAGACGCCCCGCGCGGCTCTTCCGCGCTTCTTGCATTCGCGCGACTCTCGCGCGACTCTTTTTCTCGCTCTTTCCTCCTTTCGTTATTTAGACGCAACGTTATTAGCGCACGGCGCCCCGAAGCAGCGAAACATTCGCATTCACGATCGATCGTACGGACGGACGGACGGACGGACGGACGGACCGAAAGGGGCCCCGCTGCTCCTCGAGATCTCCGACGAGGAGAGGCGTCGAGATCAAAGTTCGTCCACGCCGACACGCCGATTTGTCGTGTCCGTTTGGTGCGTCTTTCTTCTAGCGTCTCTCTAGCACTTTGCCGCCGACTGTTACCTATCGCTGTTATTATCTTCGCCGGCGAAGGGGAGCCCGCGCGACACGCGAATCGGCGTGCCGATCGAAGCGCGCGCAATTAACCGTACGAGCGAGAAGCCGCGCTTGCGAAGCAGCGCGGCGCGGCGGGAAATTTCGTCGCGCGAGGCTTTCCACGCGATTCTCACGGGCCGTCGTCGTCTCTCGTCTCGCACGCGTCTCGCGCCATTTTTATTTCTCTTCTCCTTAAACCAGTTTGTTTTCACGGTGTGCGACCAGTTACTTTTGTTCCTTCGTCCTTCGACCATAGAGAGTAACGACGTACGAAATAGTCGGAGTGCGAGATTAGTTATAGCCTCGAGCTGCGAAATATACTACTGTGGTCGAAGCATAAAACTATGGAAAGTAGGACCGACTTTAGCTTCGTTCTATATTCCTGCCTGCGTGAGCGTGTGTGTGTGTGTGTGTGTGTGTATGTGTGTGCGTTTCGTATGTGTATATTTCTCTCTCTATACGACAGCGATGAATATGCAGGAAATCACTCGCCCTCCCGGCTCGTCGCGGTTAATCGCGCGATTCGCGGAACGCGCGTCCCGAATTTTCCTCGAGGACGACGGAGGACGAAAAAAACAAGCTTTTACCGCGGCGAGAGGTACGCGGCAAGAGTTTTCCACGTTTCGGCGGATCTCGCGGGCAAAAACCGCGGGGGAATAATAAGCTTCTTGAATAATTCTCAGGCGGCAAATCAGGTCACGAATTTCCGTCATTGAATCGGGCGAAATTAATAATGACGGCAGCTGTTTCATGAGACTTTAAAGAGCTCTCTCTCTCTCTCTCTCTCTCTCTCCCCCCCTCTCTGTCTTTCTCCCCCCGTCGGTTCGTCGCCGCGTGTCGAGACAGATTGATAGATTCCATCAATTCGGATGTCGATTCGCGTTTTTCGATCGTTTAATTTAATTGCGCCACCGCTTAAGTGTATTTGCGGAATACGTGATTTTATGTACGATTCGCCGTTCGACAAAGGCGAGAATACCATCCGAGAAGCTCTTCCTCTATGCTTCTCCCTCTCGCGTGCTCGTCACACGAGAATACACACGGTCACGAGAATACACACACATACAGAAAAAGAATATCCCGGCGAGAGAGACTCGGCAGAGCACCTTAAATTTACCATCGGCGGTTTCTTCCTCGCGCCAAGTCGTATCGGGGACATTTAATTAATTACCTCGGACGAGAAACGTATTTCGCGTTTGAATTAATTATCGCATCCGACTTACAACGTCGTCGCGAGCGGAGTCGTAAGCCCTCGATAACGCGACATCCGTCATTCGCGGCTAATCTATCATCCTTTTATTCTCTTTGCAGTTTTCTCGGCTGAATTTTTCGCGCGGAGGACGCGCTGTTGCCTTCCGCTCGCTCGCGATCGCGTCGTCCTCCGAAGCGAGCGCGGATCCTCTTCGTCTGTGACGGCGACGAAGCAACGAGGATCCGACTCGCCGGCGAAACAGATGTCTCGATAACACACACGCGTCACACGGCAGACGCCGGGGGAGCGGGACGGGGGGGGGAAGTCGATGATTAAATAAACGGGAAGGACAGTTCGTCTTATCTGGCGCAATCGAATGAATTAATCGTTTTCCCCCCCTCGCACCCCCCCCCTGTCTTCCACAGCGCTCATAATACAGATCCGATCCGAACCGATCGCGTTCCAATGGCTCGTGAATAATGCGCGGCTCCTAACCCGAAATCGACGCGCGCGCTATTTCGATCGGCCGGAGACGGGCCGCGCGCGAGTGGAGCGTACGTGAATTTTAAATAGATTTCAGAAAGATCGGCTCTAGCCCGATGAATTAATGGGACCAGACTTCCCGATGGATTTTTAAAACGATCCCACCCCGCGCGACTCAATCGCGACGTATTTGCGGAGCCGATTCGATATGCGCCCCGCGCATCGGCACGCGACGTTTCGCTTCGACTAATATTTTCATTCATTTGACTAATCAGGGAGTATATATATATATATATATATATAGCAAAGAAGAGCGCGAGGGAGATGGAGAGAGGGAGAAAGAGTACCCACTGAAAACACACTCCGCCGTGAATATGAAAATCATCTCTCCCGCTGAAAGTCGCGTTCGCGCGACTTTCGACAGCTTTCGCGCTACGCAAGTTCGCGAGGCCACCGAAATAAAAGTGAAGACGCGAGCTCCTGAATTATATTTCTCAGTAATTTCATCTCCCCTCCCCTTTGATTATTTCGACAGGGACGGGTAGGGGGGCTCGGGGAATAAGAGACACCGGGCTAATTCCGTATTGCGCCTTCGATTTCCGTGAGATAAAGCGTCGACTTCGTCGAGGGGTGATTCTCCCAAGTTCGGTACAAAGCTCTCTCGCGGTTCCGCCCCGTTTTGGATATTATCACCCGCAGAGAGAGAGAGAGAGAGAGAGAGAGAGAGAGAGAGAGAGAGAGCCCGTTTCGCGAGCGCGCGTCCGAAGGCACTCGCGGCGAAGGACGAGTTCCGATCGGAACTTTCCGAAACAACAGAGATCCAGCCGCAGCCGGGACTCGCGCTGATTGGACGCGACCGCTCCGTGCGGCAACGGAGATGCCGCTGGAAACTCGAAAAAAGGAGTGGGAGGAGGACGAGGAAGAAAAAAGGAGAAAATGAAAGAGAGAGAGAGAGAGAGAGAGCGAGAGAGGGAGGATCGATGCATCCGTCGTGGAAGTCGCGGACGCGAATACATGGCGAAAGTATCAGTCGGCGGAGGTAATCTCGCTACTTGGGCGACTCATTCAAGTCCCACGCTAAATTTCAATCCGACATGTACAAAAGTCGCGAGCCCTTTTCTACCCCTTTCCTCTTCCGCCTCTGTCGTCGTCGTCGTCGTCGTCGTCGTCGTCGTCGTCGTCGTCGTCGTCGTCGTCGTCGTCGTCGTCGCTGTCCTTTCCTGCTCTTTTTCTCGATTCCCGGCGCTCCGAGACTCCTGTATCGCAGACGCAGGACTCGAACTCCAAGCAACGGTCCATTTCCGCGATCCTCATCTCCTCGACTCCCCCTTGCTGTCGCCCCTTCGACGAAGCACACACGTCTTCCGTCTCGGAACCATCGCCGATCCTCGCGGAGTCTTGAATAAACTCGCGACTTGAATGTCTAAATTCATCCGCCGGGTCCTTTTAAATGTTTGAATGACGAATAGATCCTGCCCGGTATCGCAGATATAACGCGGGGAGTTCGAGGATCCGAGAAAGGGAGAGAGAGAGAGAGAGGGGGGGGAGAGAGAGTAAGTGCGGGAAGCCCCAAAGTTTATCGATTTGACGGGAATGACGTCGAAGTTTTAACGAGGTTTCGCAAGCGAGCGAGCGAGCGCGCGCCCGTCCCCCCCCCCGCCCGCGTGCGAATTTCCACGTACATTTTTGTACTTTCGACCTCCTCGAGATCGAGACTTCTAATCGACGCGAGTCTTAATTCTCAAGCCAGCGCGAAGGCACGCCCCCGCCCCGTTGCTGCCCACGCGCGTTTTTTATTCGCCGCGCGTTCTCTGATTTCTACGAAATATTAAAAATTGCGAATCTTAGATGTATCTGCGGCGCGGTTAATTCGACGTGAAATATGAAAGAGTCATATAAAACTCCATCGAGATTTTACGTCAATTGCTCTCGCCCACTCTGCCCCCTTTCCTAGCTCTCCCACCCTTTCTCTCTCTTTCTCAAAATCCCGCATTCCTGGATTTCTGCATTCTTGCATTTTTAAACCCACGTGTTTTTCAGCCAGCACTTTGGATTTATAAGTTTATAGGATCAAGTGCTCGGGTAACAAAGCCTTTGACTAACTTTCGACCCCGGGAAATTGAATCGATGTCTGATCGAAATTTTCGGTTCGACGAAATATCTGAATCTTTGCAACTGCCAAGAACGGACGGTAATTCTGGGACACCCGGTATGTGTGTGTGTGTGTGTTTGCGCTGCTCGTCGCGCGTCCTCCCTCTCTATCCTCCTTCTCTCGTCCCCAGAGTCCTTTTAAGCCCCCCGCCTGCACCCCTTTCCCTCCTCGGTGCATCCCTAAGGTCCGTTTCCCTCGCCAATAGCGAATACGCCGTGGTATCGGTTTGTATACACGAATAGCCGGATACATAGGACGCACCTAATTAAACTTGGGGAAAGCGGCCGGCACACGTTAGACTTTCAGCGCCCGCGAGCTTTCTTGCCCCTCGCCGCCCTTCGTCCCTTCGCGCGGCGCCCCATTAAAGCCCGCGGCCCTTAAGAGCACCTTCGGCCGCGGTGCTTTATTTCGCGCGCGCGCACGCGCGTGTCCAAAGTTGCCCGCGAGACTCGAAATCCTCACTTCCTCGCGCGATTTCAGCTGCCACGCAGGTGCTGAGAGAGAGTCGATGTTAAATTAATCAAAGTTAAATAAATACCCGACCCGAGTAATATATACACCGTGCGCAATCAATAACAATTGCGCACGAGTATATATCCGCGGCACAGAGCGCTATAATTGTTAAAGTAATAATTTTTAAATGTAATATCGTATTACATATATATCGTGTCTCCAAGATAATATTCATCCCCTGGACATGGCACGATTTTAAACACATACTTATCATACACATACACATTGTATTATAGCTAAAAATATATAACACGGCACGATTCTTATTTCATTACTGTAATAATAAAGTATCGGTAAAATAATAATGCCATTTGGGAATTAATTTGTGCGTCTCCCGATACGACGATGTCGCCCGCGCCACGACGTGCGAAATGGAAGCTGTCTCGTTCTTTTCTTCCCTTCTCTCTCTGAGAGACAACACGCGCTCCGCCCTTCGCCACCCTTGCACAGTGGGCCAGAATTCCAGAAGAGTGTCAAAAAATATATTTTTCGACTGCTTCTGGATTTAAACAAATACATGTCTATTTGATAATATTAATGTCAAACTGATGAAATGTAAAATGATTTTCCTCTTAGACATATATCAAGGTCGCAAGATATTCGCAAAGTTGACGTCTTTAACAAATGCCACCGATTGTCATATTTAACTGATACAAAAGATATTTTTATCGAATAAAACAAGCTATAAAATAGTCATGAATAATAATCGTTATTACATAAAGAAATTCTATGACTCTTCCTCTTTCTAATAGTATATAAGAAATTATGAAAAAATAATTTCATTACCATATAATAACGCATCAAAACTTGATTCGCTCGCACAAAAATATCAATGCTATATCATTCAGAGCATATCGATTTTTGAAAACGTACTCGTCGTGACTCGTCGATTGGACTTAATCGGTTTTGTAACTGATGCTTCGTACTTTAATATCCAGAAAAGATCGTCTGCTTTTATCTGCTTTTACGACAGCTAGAACAAAATAATTATTGCAATGTTGGTAGATTATGGCAATGTCCCGAAAAATCTAAATATTGAAATTTGAAAACTAGGAATATTTATCGACAAGTCATAATATTAAATACGAATATTGAGACAAATTATCGATACATACACACACATATATATATATATAATGAAAACAACAGATTTTTTGAACACTTCTGTATGTCTTGTAAGATTCTTATCCTTAAACTGTATTATATTTCTTTAAGAAGATTACTACCGCTCATTATATTCGAAAGCAAACTTGCAAGCATAATAATAATAATGATAGTTATTATTATAACTACTATTATTACTATTATTATAATTATAATTCTATAATCATAATAAAATTAACGATATTCAATGATTAAATGATATTAATGACATGTATTTGTTTAAATCCAGAAACAGTCGAAAAATGTATTTTGTGACACTTTTCTGGAATGCTCGCCCCCACCCACTGTGCCTTGCCCCGCGATACGTGTACACGCGTGCCCGATAAGGGCTCGCTTATTTTTAGACGATTTTCGTACGCTTCCTCGACGCTCTCTCGCGCTCTCTCGCGCGAGCGCCGGCACGGCTCAAGTATTTATTGTCCGGCAACGTTGAAGGGCTTCGACGAGAGATGAAACAAGGGTGACGTGAAAAGGGACGCCTGCGAGGCCGCTTTTGTTCGGCGCGGAGGATTGAAATTTAGCGTAGAATTTCAATGAGTCGCCGGGAAGAAGCGAGATTACCTTTTCTTCTCAGCTGATGCTACTTCGACGGGCTGTGCACGATGCGAAGCGTTCGCTCCTCCCGTTCCTGCCATGTTGTCTGATTTATGCATGAAAGGGCCGCATCAGCGACGCGCGCGATGCACCCAGCGGTGCGCCTCTCCTCTCCCCCTGCCCCAACCCCGCGTCTCGCCGCGCCACCGCCTACGTCTGCCTCTCATTTTCCCAACCCTCTCCCCCTCCCCGTTTCTTCACGGCCGAACTGGACCCGACTAGACGCTGTTCGTTATCAGCCGAGATACAACACATCGCCGCGCGAGATCTCTTGCGCAACTTCGCTGCGACCGCCTGCGGAGGAGACTTTCGCGAACAACGACGAGAGCTACGTGGAGGCCTCGCCGATAATTGACTCTTCGCTCCCTGTTCTCGCTGAAACGGGCCAGAGACTCTGCCGGGTGTACGAATCTCGATACATCACTTTGTCGGCCTAATTTCGCCGCGAGCGGGCGATCGTGGACATTCGAAAATTCGCGATCGGAAACGGCTCGCAAACGGAATTCGAGACTTTTTCTACTCGAAGGTTCGAGCGACGTCTTCGCCTCGCGAAAGCTCTCGGGGAGGAATCCCAAGGACACGGTCTCGCGCCCCGACCGGTCTCTCTCGAGAGCAACGTGAGGCTAGGTGCGACGGGAAGGTGAGTGGAGAAAGGGGTGGCGAGGCTTTATTTCGCGTGCACGGATAAAATCCGGCCGCGAGCCCTGCGGGCGCGATTCGGCGCGCGAGTCTTTAAAGCGCTCCCCCAGCCCTCCCGCTTCCTCTCTCCCTCTCCCTCTCTCTCTCTCTCTCTCTCTCTCTCTCTCTCTCTCTCTCTCTCTCTCTCTCTCTCTCTCTCTGTTTTTGATGGGAATGGGCAGACGCTGCGAGGCGCCT